TTAAAAAAAATGTCAATTAATTCATTAGTTTTAATTACATCATTATTTTGTTATTATTGATCAGTTTAATTTATTTTTGACTTTTTAATTACACTATTAATATAATTATTTGATAAATTTCTAATATCAATCAACAAGCCAAACTATAGACAAAAATTAAGAATACTTAATAACTGCTTGAATTACTTATTTATTTTATTCTTATCCAAATCTCAAATTTTAAACATTAATTATTATTATTTTTTGTTTTAAATAATAGACTGAAATGTGCAAAGTTAATGAATTTAATTTATTTTAATGAAAACTTCTATTTTTATTTTATCTAAATAATTCATTTTATTTTTAACTAAAATGTTTTCTTTTGCATATTCCATATTATTAAAAAAGATAAAAATATAGTATTTATTGTACCTGAAACCTTTTCCTTTTAATAACACTTAATGTAAAATGAATTTAAATTTATATTCGAAAGTTTGAAATATCTATGTATTTATTTTTTCTTTTAATTAATACTCAAAAAATTTAACACTAATTATTGGCAAATCTAAGGCTGCTAAATAAAAATGTTTTATATATTAAAGTGTACTTAAAAGTTGTTTATTGCATATTCATGAATTCATTTTATTTTTTACTCCCAAAGTAGTGGTTTTGGTCCATAATTAGACTAGTATTTTTCTGTCTATTTTGAACTAGTATGATACTGGTATATTTCTGACCGAAATCTGACAATTGCCATCTCGTAGGACATCCCCATGTTAAAAATACCAGTTGATTGCATGGAAAAAAGATAGTTGGCTGACTAGTTGGGCTTGCGGTTCATACTAGTTGTAAGGTAGTTTACAACTAGTTCATTTGACTACAGGGTGACCATCGAACAGTTATTGAAAAGCGTCACTTGATATGTCGCGTCTCTTTTTGAATTTATCTAAATGCTTTTAAATGACTTTCTCGAAGACATCTAACATCATAGTTGTTGGAGAGGATTCGATTTAATGTTCCCCAGGGCTCTCTTCGGAATTTCTACCCTTTCTATGTAGATTATTTTAAAGCCAAATATGCCAGTGATGATCCTATTACTCGCGCTATTCGGGGATTAGCAAAACTACTGTTCTTGATGTTTCGCTTTCAAGGGCTGCACAGACTGATATTTGTGCCGAAAAGCTGGGAAAAAATATTTTTGCTGTTTTTATTGCGAATTCCGGTAGTATATCCATCCAGTAAAAATGTTTGTTCGGGAAGATTTTTTTTTTTAGGACTAAAGTTAGCCAAACGCAGAATTCCTTCATTCCTTCAGTAAGTAAACTTTTTCATATATTTTTCTGTAAACTCTATCACTGATAAATAGAGTCGTCTGATTATTCTGGTAGATAAGGAACGCAACTATTGTCTTATTGCTTGTTCTTACGCTTAATAATAATAATAATACGCTTATGAGACAAAACAACAGTCGCAGTCCAAGCACAAGCAGAAATCGATTGTAGACAAAAGTTGCATTCCCCATCTTTTCTGGGTTAAAACCTGTAAAACTGTCAAAAAGCAAAAGAAGCCAGAGAACCGAATACGGGTACCCTTTCTGGTCAATTCCTGTATATTCTTGCAACTTCTTGCGAGTTAGGGAACGCAACTAAAATGTGCAGTCAGCGGCACAATCCGAAGTAAAAGCAATAGCTTTGCTTTTGTAAGGAAGCTCAGAATAGCTCTGTTCCAGTACTCCATGAACTTACAGGTTTTTACACGAACTTGCAGGAAGTTACAGGAAAAATGATACCGTACTCCAAAATCCAGTAAATGGGAGCGATTTTTGGAGAGTTGTGTAGAGAAAGAAGTTGCAAGATTTTACCCGTTGACGTTTTGGATTTTTTTTTTGTTCCCGTACTTTTTGTTGTTACTCCCATATCGGAGAGTAATTTTGCTGTTCGACATTTTTACAGCATTTTACACGAAAAGTATTGGATCAGAACTAAATTCTCATTTTTATCTTAAAGTTAAGATGTATGAGGTTGTTGATATGCCCTTATCCTTTGTATTAGAGTTGTGAGAGTAGGTTCACTCTAGGCATCAAATCAATGATCAAGTTTATCGTGATGAGTGCCTCAAAAGGCGTCTTCTGTCATTTATCAACAGATAAGTTAGTAAGCTACCGTTCTAGGCGGACATGGCAAGCTGCCACTATGCCAAGGACACATTGCCGTGGTATAATGCAAATAACATCAATTTTGTACCTTGCAGTCGTAGCCCAAAGCTACGTCCTATTGGGGAATATTGGTAAATTGTCAACGGAATCTTGAAGAAAACAGGTGAAACAGTGAAAAATATTGAAGAGTGCAAAACAAAGCGTTGTGCCGATCACTTGCATATGGAGCAAATAATAACTAATATTTTAACATTTCAATAAAAACATCCAAGAGGCTCTCAAACCAATATAATCGAATAACGTATTTACAGTCCAAATTGATATATGCTTAAAAAATTACTCAGTGAGGAACCGTAATTGGCGCAGTGATACGTGCTTTTATATAGTTTTATTGGCGCACAATACGCAGTGCGAGCCTTTGACGCACATCTTTAGCGAATCTCTTCGACGTGGTGTTTTCCCTTTGTACTGGAAACTGTCATATATTAGCCCCATCCATAAGGATGGACCAAGATCATCAGTCTCGAACTATCGACCGATTTGTATCCAGTCCGCATTGGCAAAACTTTTTGAGAAGTTAGTACTACCGCAACTCTCAACTTCATTTACAAATATTATAACCAGTAAACAGCATGGATTCATGCGCGGAAGATCCACTACAACTAACCTTTTCACATATACTAACTATATATTCAATGCCATGAATTCTGGTGCCTGTGTCCATGGTGTCTATACTGATTTCAGTAAGGCCTTTGATTGCGTCGACCATAACATTTTACTGAATAAATTGAGAAACTATGGAGTCAGCGGAAATGCTCTTAACTGGCTAAGCTCGTACCTTATAGGCAGACACTTGCAAGTCAGAGTTGATGGACATCTATCTTGTAATTATGAGGTTAGGTCTGGTGTTCCTCAGGGCTCTCACCTCGGCCCTATCTTGTTCAACATTTTCGTCAATAATATCGGTTGTGGTTTCAAATCAGAATACCTGTTGTATGCGGATGATCTGAAAATATTCAGATCCATAAAAAGTACGTTGGACTCTCATCTTTTACAGCATGACATCGACAAGCTCTCTGACTGGTGCTCCAAAAATAAGCTCGATCTCAATCTCAGTAAATGTGCAGTTATCTCCTTCTCACGCTCGCATACCCCATTACATGCAGACTACAATCTAAACGGGGCAAAAATAAGGGTGGTCGAAGACATTAAGGATCTAGGCGTCATCCTGGATAATAAACTAAGCTTTTCGAAACACATCGACAAGATCACATGTCAGGCTCTCAAAGTATTTGGCTTTATCTCTAGAAGCAGCAAGGATTTTGCCAACCCTTACTCATTTATCAAACTATTCTCATCCCTGGTACTGCCTATCGTAGAATATGGCAGTGTGATCTGGTCGCCGCACACTGATAGCTCAATCACTCATGTCGAAAAAGTACAACGTAAGTTGTGCAAAACCCTGGCTTTCCGCAATACCTCACTAAGTCAGGCACGCATCACAGAAGATATATACAAACTTTACCGAATCAAAAGCCTGTCAGATAGACGAAAGATTGCGGATTTGACCTTCTTCTACAAGGTGGTAAAAGGTATCATCGATGCTCATGACATACACAGCTGCTTCGAATTAGCACCATCTGGATTAA